CTGGGTATAAAATATCAACTTAGATTATTTATATTAAAAGGAAAAAGAAAAACAAGAGAGATAATAAATACTAATTGAGAGAGAAAAGAATGATCCAAAAGCTAAAAGGACTAAACTAGTCATAAGAGATATAGAAATAAATGACCGCATATGAATAATGGACTTCACGGGATACCTTAACTGGAATGGAATTTTCATAAACTGGAAACTTCACTAGAGATCACATTCCTGCTCTGCAGAACTTGGATATCCAGCCTCTTTGAAATAAAAATATATAATAATAAAATTAAAAGCATAAGAAATACTCTCAACTACAAGAGGTACTTTAGAGGAGTTAGTATCTTGTTCTTCTCACTGCACTTATATTTAGGTGTGTTCATTTATTTGAAAGGTTTGGATGGATATTTTCTAGAGGGTCACAGCGTTTCAAGGGCAAAAGATTTTTAAATATCAGGGAAAGAACCCGGGTACACCTCCATCCTTCATTTCCAGCCTCGAGGCAAACAGCACTCATGGCTGAATCTTCTGTGGTGTCTATACCCCAAGTCAGAGCCCAAAGGAACCACTTAGAAAGGATTCCAGCTAGCCTCAATTAGGCACTGATGAACCACCATTACATTTCCTTCCTTGCTGCCTGTTCTGCCCCTTCTGAGGCATTTTATATTCTTCTTTTTCTTCCTTGATAGCAAATTTGTAGCAACAGCCCAAAGCACAGGCTTGAATTTGGACTTATCACATTCGTGCAATACCCAGGGTAAAGCAGGGCATCCGCCGGCACAGATAATAGTTATAACCCCCCAGAGAGAGAAATCCAAGAACACAGCATAAATAACCTGGTCAGCCCTTGAATGAATTACATGCAATATGTGAACCTACTAACTAGGATCATCCACACGGATGACTTCATGGACGTGGAAATAGTCTGACACATAGAACCCTTCTTTGACGTGGCGATGCTGGTACAGTACTTTACCAGTACGCAAGGTGTGGCTCTCCGGAGGGATCAGTGCTATGTCATGAAAGGCTGCAAGTCCTAAGTGATGTCCTTGGCTCATTTCTGTTTCCATGGTAACCACATGCCTCTTTTAACCAGCACTTTGAACATTCTCAGAAGAAAGTTAAAGCTACACACAGAGAACATCTCAAAAAGGAACACAAACATAGCAAAGGTCATCTCCAAAGAATGCTAAATCTATGTGTTTGTCGGTGGCTGGCAAGGGGGTGTGCCCTTGCTCTCACAAGAACATAGCTTTCTTTATTTCCATGAAAACTGAAGACTTTGGCAGTCTGAGGAGCTTCTGAACTTGTTTGGAGTGGCCTCCAAAGCACAAGTTTTAGAGAACATAGTGTTTTCACGCTGCATTTTTAAACTCATATTTCTGGTAAAAACAATTGTTAACGCTAGACAAGAACCAATCCTATGGTTAACAGCCAGATCTCTGAAGTTAAGGCATTTTTTAAACCTTGCTCTGAAGCGACACCCTGTGGCACAGAATGATAAAGGCCAACAGAGTAGCGTCTTCTTCACCAAAAGTTCCCCCATGTGACATTTACAGAACTTTTTCACTGCCAAGTCCTTTGTT